AGCTCTTGTAAGAAAGTTCGTTTTGGATACACAGTTCACGGTATTAAACTTTCAAAAGATCAGAAAACTACCTTGGCAAAAGCAGTTAGAGACAAAAGCGGAGTAACTTTACGAATTACCAACAGCGCTCTTGAAGGTCCTGATATGCTTATGCTTACTAATACACAGATAAAGCGAATAATGGGTGCAAGATCCAAAGGATCTGGAATCGATCTAAAATTGTCTAAGAGTCAGATTACAGCCATGACGCGCGCGCAAAAAGGTGGATTCCTTGGTTCTTTGCTTACAGGTAGCTGCTTCCATCGTAGCGCCCGTCCTAGGAAAACCCTTGGATTAGGAACGTCGGGGAAGGAGTATTCCTTCCCGGACGCAGTGACGCGGAGGAAGTGGAAGCCGCTATCAAACAAAGATATCAATTGTATAGTAAATGGTAATCTAAAAGCAGTAGCTAAAGGTTTTATGGGGGTGTTTTCAAAAGACATGCTTCTTAAAGAGCCTCTTTAAGCTGAAGAAAGTGTTATAATCAACTTACAAGACTTTCTCGATGGAGGTAGGACTCACTGGATTTGCGCCTTTGCTGATTAGTTCTGCGTAGATTACTTTGACAGCTTCGGCCTTCCACCATCTGACGTAGTTAAAAGTGAATGGAACGGTCAAAACTTGTTGTTTGCTATTCTTGCAACGAGATACAAGATCGGCGCTCCATTATGTGTGGGTGGTACTGCCTTCTCTTCTTACACGATCGGGTTCACAATCGGTCTGCGACAGATATTCTGTTAGATTTCGATTCGCGCCCTTCTGCGCATAACGAGTGTATTGTAAAACGGTTTGCTAGAGAAACTGTAAGAGCGCGCTAATAATTAACATCGCGATGCATTTTTCACATCAGACTAAATTTTTGTGCATCATATAGAGATGGCCATCGCTTACTGTTTGTACTGTAAGAAACAACAACTTGTTGTCAAAGGAAAAATCGAATATACAAAAAACAAACCTAGGCTCACGGGGCGCTTCCGAGTCTGTGACAGAGGCGTCTCCTAGTTTCTTTCTAAAAGTGAACTTCTGGATAAAAAGAGAAGAAGAAAAAGAGGTTTGAATAGTGCGCTTCCATTAGGTATTAATACTATTGATTTGGCAATCAAAGCCGCAGATAAAATTGATAAAATCAGAAAAGCTTGGTGAACCTAACACATCAAACTAAAACATAGTCAAGTGAAAATGACTGTCGCGTTTTGTATGCGTTGCAAAAGACTGCAACCAGTTAAGAGTGGTATAGTTGTAAATCATAACGGCAACACCAGACTTGCAGGGCGCCGGGGTGTATGTGGTAGTGCTGTTTCTAGGTTTCTTTCCAAAAGAATCTCGTCGTAATGGAGGAAAAATAATCGTTTCTACGAACAGAAGCGTTGAAGAACGCCTCGCAGAGGCGTACTACAGTCCTGCGGGGTACTGGCGCGGCATTGCTGCTGTCCCAAAGCTGGCAAAAGAAGCTGGCGTCGGCGAGGATGAGGCTCATGAATGCCTAACAGGCCATCTGGCAGATCTACTTTCCCTCACCAGCGCGAAGTGCTATCCCACGGTCATCTACGTAGCAAGTCGGTATAAGGAGGCCCAGGCAATCACAGACAAGACAGCGACTCAGGTTGGGAAGGCGTTAGAGTCTATTTATGCCCTTGGGCCTCTTCGAAGGCCTAAAGTTTTACAAGTCGAACCTGGTTTGGAGTTTTGCGGGGCTGTGCAAAAAGCGTGTGATAAAAATGGTGTCTTGATTCGACAGGGTAAGGTTGGGGTTCATAGAGATCAGGGGATCGTAGAAAGTTTCAACCGAATTTTGGCGGAGCGATTGTTCGGTAACCAGTATCATTGCGAGCTAGCTGAGCTTGGAACTCGGAACAAAGAATGGGTATCAAGACTAACTGAGGTGGTTAAAGCGCTCAATAATGAAACTACCCGTTTGACGGGTGAAAAGCCCTCCCTTGCGATTCGGAAGAAGAGCTTTAAGGCCAAACCCGCTGCGCTGGCACTTCGTCTAGCTGGTTTCAAAGAGCGACGCTTGCCATCGGATGTTATGGTGCGGTATTTGTATGCGCCTGGCGAACTTGAGGGTGGCGAACGGCGTAGGGCGACCTATCCTGTATGGAGTGTGACCTCCCATCAGGTCGAACGGGCTGTGTTTGAGGGAGGGAAGCCTGTGTTGTATTATTTGAGCGATGTGCCGTAGATATGCTGACGCGATTGTACACGAGGAGCTCCAAGTGGTGCCCTTTGGGACCAAAACACCACCGGCTTAGTCGATGGGGTCCTGTTACGCTTTTTATGAAAGCTTTCACTACCATATACTACCTTACGCTTAGCCGTGGAGCTGCTCTTCTACTGTAATTATCACATCAGAACTAATTATCAGCATAATTACGCATTTATTATTTATTCGCCTGCGGCACCGGCTTCCCTATGCCCGCATGCTAGGGTAGAGATCCCATCGGCCGCGATCCAGCGCTTTGTGTCCAGCGGGCTCAATGATGTCTTGTTGACATGCTCGCCGAAGATCTGATAACCGTGACTGCGCAGCATATCCATACCGTGGCGGAAGCCCTTTGCCTCAAATAGCGCCTCTTTGTACTGGGCATGACTGATATGCTTTTTCCTGACGCCTTTTCAACACCTTTGGCTTTGCGCTCCTCCAGACCATCGGCTTTCAGGATAGAGTACATCTTGGGCCTAAGCCCCACAAACTCAGCGATAGGCGCCCCAGCGCACTCGTCCTTCATTCCCCCCAGCACTTTCTTGTTGGCTGTGCTGAACAGCGGTTGGTCTTTTGGGTAGTTGCTGGTGTCGTATTGACCAGCGTTGCGTCTCATGTCGGCGTACACGTGCTCAGTCTGGATCTCCAGCACAAGGCTGTCGGTGTCGGTGTAGAGGAGCTCTGCTGACGACCCGTACTGCACCTTGAGATGGTTGTAGTACCAGGCGTAAATCAGATGCTTCGAGAGGTCGAGAATGCTCGTGCCCACGAATACAGGCCGGTTGAGCAGCAGACTGCTTTTATTCATATGAACGGCTGCGAGGTCTCCCGCATCGCCAAAGATAAGAGGCCGATTGTATGTCGGCTTGGCGATAAGTTTGCGGAGTCTCTCGGTCTCGCTTGGCCGGAGAAGCTTCACATCGACACGCTTTCGGAGGTTCACCATCGTCTTGCCAAAGACGCTGTTGTTCAGCAGCTTGTAGAGGTTAACCTGAAAGTCAGTCTTTGCCTTCTTCCGGAGTTCGGTGTTTTTCCGGATGTAGAGCTCCATTCATGGGCTTTGGTCGAAGCAGAGCGCTCTGTGGATATTTTTTAGGCGCATGCCAAGCTGCAGATAGAGCTGCAGATTCCGATAGTGCAAGACGTATCGGGCATTGTCGTGCAGATTAGGGACCAGCTTTTCGACCTCGTGAGACGCACCCCCATACATCTGTTTGAAGAGAATTTGCTGAAAATCCGACATCAAAGCGTTGTCGACCTTCAGGCGTCCTGGCGATAATGGATATGCATTGTGCTTGTCGTGCAGCCTTTCTGGATACTCCAGATCGACTTTGAGAATGTAGCCCTTCTCTGCATGTACAGGCTGGTTCAGGGCCGTCTTTACATCCTCTTGGAGGACTCACTCGAACGCGCCTTTCAGGAGCGGCTGCGACATCGCCCAGCCGTACAGGTTGTTAGCGTCGTAGTACTGGATCCATCTTTAGAGCTTCCCCGGATCGTAGTCTGGCACCTTGGGATTGTTGGCCTTGGCGAAGCGCCTGCTTGCAATGCTGATGCCACCCCGCAGGCCCTTCTAGATGAAGAGATGCATGTCAATGTCGGTGATCAGCTCGAGCTCCAGCCCTGTGTGCTTGAGGAGAGCGTCCCAGCTTAGGCCCGGGCTTTTGTAATAGTGGGCCGGTTGTAGCCGGTATCGCTCTAGGCACAGCTTTTGGAAGTCGTCGAAAACGTCAGCGAGGAGGAGGACATCGGTCCGAAGGTAGAGGACGTGCTAGTCGCCGAGGGTTATGCAGACGAAGGCGTCCCACACCCTTTTTCTTTTGGGCGTAGTCACCATCGGTGATGCCTTCGCCGGAGAGCTTGTTGTAGAAGGCCTCCTTCGGCAGGAGGCTCTCCTCGTCCAATCGGAGCCAGCTGTCCATGTACTCGTAGGGGTAGATCCCCTTCCGGAGCAAGAGGGTAGGCCTCTGGAGGTTCGGCTCCTAGTCTGCTGTGATGCGCATGTCTTCCGGGTCACTGGCTTTCACCAGTCGATCCAGGCATGAGAGCATGAACTGTGCGCTGTCGATGAATCGGAGCTGGCCGATGCTGAACGAGATGTATTTCTCAGCGTTGTTGGGGATACACGTGACCTTCCCTTCAGTCTCTGCGATAGTCTTCATGAGGAGATGGCTGTCGTAGCCCGGCAGGTTATGAAAGACAAACGTTATGGTTGTCGTCTTCGGACTGAGCCGCAACTTCAAGTTGCACTCATTGTGGGCCACACCTCGGTACTTGCCAGTTATGTGGCAGTGGTCTCGCACGTAATTGCCTTCGAGGGGCTTGCAGCAGACGTGGCAATTTGTGGCTTTCTTGTGACTCCCCCAGTCGTTTCCTGTCATATACAACTGATGGCAACTGATGGTAACGGGGCGGCCGTTTGTTTGCTTTTATTGGATTTCAAGAAAGCTTTTGATCTGATTGATCATAACTTATTGGTTGAAAAACTAGGTTCATTATATATATCGAAATGGGTTCTACACTGGATTATGGATTTCCTCTCCTTCAGGAAACAAAGAGTAAAGCTGAAATTCGATTGCTATTCAGAGTGGAAACTTGTACCTGCAGGCGTTCCGCAGGGCACAAAATTGGGGCCTTAGCTATTTTTGATAATGATTAACGATCTCAAGTTACCAAATAATGAAATGTGGAAATTCGTGGATGATACCACTGTTAGTGAAGTAATTGCGAAAGATCAAACAAGTAACTTAAAAACCAAATGGACACATTAGCGAACAACATCTCGCGTGATAAGTTCCAGTTAAATAAAACCAAATGTAAAGAGATGCGAATTTGTTTTGGATCTAATACCAATGACCTTCAACCAATTACCATCAATAACATTACACTGGATATTGTCCAACGCGCGAAAGCTTTGGGATTGGTTATAGCCAGTAACCTTAAGTGGAACATCCACGTAAATGAAATAATTACGAAATGCCGTAAACGCCTTTATTATCTTATTCAACTAAAACGAGCAAATATCGAAGACAAGGAATTGCTCCAATTTTACAAAACGTGTATAAGACCTGTCTTGGAGTATGCTTGCCCAGTGTTCCACAATAGTCTGACATTGTATCTGTCAGATGACCTAGAGTCAGTCCAAAAGCGAGCATTAAAAATAATCCTGCCTCATCAAGAATATGAAAACGCTCTGCAGTTTACTAATTTGCAACGCCTTAGCGAAAGGAGGAATGATATAACAACAGCGTTGTTTCAGAAGATAGTAGCAGATTTCTCACATAAGCTTCATGACCGTTTGCCTCCTCGTTTAGAACGTTGAACTATGGAACGTAGGACTCAATCTTCATTTAATACTAACTTTAATACCAAACGTTTTAGAAACGCACACTTGTTCTTGCCCTGCCTCATGGCTGTCGAACGTTTCGATTACTCTATGAGAGTATATCTCTCTAAATAATAGACCTCAACGGCCTGGCGGGCAGGCGGGGGCAGCCGTCTTTGGCTCCTGCCGTTGTCCTGGGTTTGACCTTCGCTGTAATTATGCTAACATAATTACAAGAAGTACGTAAGCGAGCTTTGGCTGGGGCGCTTAGATTTGTGTATACTCCTTCTCAAACTGTGAGGTGCGCTAGAAACGACGCTTTCTGGTGAAGTGCGCCAGCGCTTTCAAGGTGAAGTGCGCCAGCGGCAACGCTCTGTATACTACTGTAACAGCAAAACTGGACTCCGAACAGCAATCGAGTTACCTTTTGCAGTATAATCGGATTATATTAGGCAAATCTGAACGGCGTAATAATACGATGATTTATAAAATCTGTCACTTAAATGCGAATTTTGAGTACGTCAACAAGTGCATTTCATGTGTTTTTTTTAGTGTTTTTGGTTAAAGGGCTTATATTACGAATTTTAGCACCCCTTTTTTATGAGCTTAATTGAAAATTTGGATTATTTGAAGACCTATGACATGTCCTTGGACTTAAAGAAATAAATATAAGTTCCTTAATTTTGCGTCCAAAGTCGGGTACTATATGCGAATTTTTTACGACGCCATATTGATACTTGTGACTAGATAGTTGAACAGGTCTGTTTCCGTCAATTTAATATTATATTATAGGAGGTGATTTTGTCGTCGTTTTTCTTGTATTAAAAACAAATAATGACAGTATTTTCAATAAAATATTAAAAAACAAGTTTTCCAGAAAGTATGGCCTCAAATCAGTGCTCAGATAAATCGAATTCGATGTCTGAATGCGTATTTGATTCGAGCTCGGAATCCATGGGTTATGTCGAGCATTTAAACGACTTCGCATATGACCATGAACCGTTCGCAGGAGATGGTGATGAAGTGCACACTCCAGATGATCCCGATAGAATTCTCCCTGCGACATTAGAACAACGAAGTGATGGCGTAATTCCACTCGGTGAATGGTAAGTTGTTGTTTTCTCCTGTTTGTAATATACATAAAGTTACTTTATAAACCACAATGCTCCCACGTTTCAGGTGTAATTGTCAATGCTGTCATACCGATTTGTTAGAAGGCGCATTAGAGTACAGATGCTGTAAGGAAATAGGACCAGCTTTGCAGAAACTGACATTCGATGGCAGCATTGAGATAATATCATGCATAACACAGTATGCCAAATTTGGGCCTTTAGTTCATGAGGCTGTCCTTGAAAACGTCGGGCCACTATTGAGAGATAGGAATGGACGTGCTTATTGCCGCCAAGCATCACAATCATTAAATATGTAAGAGTGTAAATTGTATGAGAAACAATGTAATCATCAACATTGTTTCATCAACAATAATTAGTCCAACCTTTTTATTTACTTCAGGTACTTGAGAGCTGTGGCATACAGATGGTTGATGCGATGGTTTTGTGGGTCTATGGGATGGGAGAATACTCGGCCTTTACCTGCTTGTGTTTACCACTTTATTCGGAAAGCATATCCAAGTGGTAACACAAACGGTTACATACCATCAGAGGGCGATGATGGAATAGTCTTTTAACTTGTGCACTGAAGACTGTTGACCTTCTTTGTTGAGTTTGGAATGGTCAGGAAATATGCCTAGATAAAAACCAAATAGGAGATACATGGATGCGCTATATAAGTTGACATGCAGTTTAATGGTTTGAAACAAGAGTAAACAATAAAAACAAATTGGTGCAACTACTGAGAGGTTAAGCTGAAAGAATTAAATGAAAGAAAATCTTTTCTTCAATGTCAGTCTGCGAAAAAAGACAAAACAAAAATATATGGAATTAAATCATAGCATAAATGTAAAAATGGAAAATAGCAAGCCGTTCAAATGGCGAATCGTTTGCTTCTCCAGTGCATACTTCAACATGCTCAGCTCCATCACTAGTAGATGGTACTTCCTCATTGAGAGAACATGTTTCCTTCAGCGATGGCTTATGGAGAGTATGTCGAATAATCAACAAAACTTATATCGAATTTACATATGACAAAAGAAAAATTAACATAAACAAGCTTAAACTTACTTGTCTTCGCTTTCGATCGGTTATTTCGTCCTGTAATTGTTCAGGAATCCCAGCCAAGTCAATGGTTGGGATAGCATCTTTCTTCAACCTTCTTTTGAGCTTGACTTCCACGCTCAAATTAATGTGAAAACAGGAATCTTCAAAATGCGCAGAACACAGACACGAGGTAGAGGAAGCCTCAAAACCCGGTCTATGTTTACGCACAAAATTTTCCCACTTTCTATATCTTCGGGGCTCTGTTTCTTTTTTAGGAAACAGATGCATCGACATTCCATCGGTTTTTGAGTCATTAGCGCAATTAATTTGATTAGGTCCGCCTGCAACACAGCGTTTTCCTCCACTAGTAGAATACGCCATGTTGATATATGTGTTCAACTTTCTACGTCACAAGTCATTAGCATACCGATCAAAAAGTTCGCAAAAAAAAATGCTGAAAATCGTGACTTTGAACGTCCGTAAAATCACTTTCACCAATACATTTTCAATTATAACTGCAGATTTAAAATCACTGAAACAAGGTCTTTCAAATTAGCTAATAAAAAAAGGGGGGCTAAAATTCGTAATATAAACACTTTAAAAAATAGACTCAATAAACTGAATAAACTAAGAAAATATATGTTTAATGTCTGAATTTCAAGATTTTTTGTCGAATTCTGACCGTTTCCTGTGCCACATTGGATACCCCATGGATCCGCCCCTGTATAATACGTATTTACCGACTGGGAGGTCCGTATACGGAAAAAATATTTTCACAAGGTCTGCAACTTAATGTTGAGACTAAAATTTGATGCTTTTCAGCAAACTTCGCTTTGTCTGGACAGTAAAATGGAATCTTGCAACGACATCTTTCATCTGAATACACCTTGCTTACTCGTTAAACAATTTACATCGCTTTCAAATCAATTTTATAAAATTTGCATTTCACTTCGTAAACAAATACATTGCGAAAAAATATGTTGAGACTAAAATTGGATTTTCTACAAACTTTGCTTCGTCTGGATAGTAAAATTCACTCTGGCTATGATAAATATCATTTTAAGACATTCTGCCTACTCGTTCAACAATTTACATCGCTCAAGTTTGTATCCAATGGAGCATAGGCATTCGTAGGAGCCTGGGATATTTATGCATGAGTGATATTTGCCACAAGGAGAAGACTGACATTCGCCGATATCTAATGTTTCACAATAAAGTTGTTTGAAAATGTGTACCATAAATTAAGCAATTTTATGTCTAATTTAAAGATGAGTAATAAATAAATATAAAATTTTTGTTTAATTTTTTACGTTTGAGATATTTCCTTTTATTTTATATGAACAAATCAACATTAAAACGTCAAATAAATTCTGTAACAAATGAATGCTAACTGTATTGCATTAATCAATTAAATTCACATAAAATGCTAACTTTAAACAAGCTTAAGTCAGTTCTAATGTAACATAAACCACTAATTGTTATTTATTTAGCTTTTAATTCACTTAATCAGCAGAGACTTTCGAGAAACGCCCTTCTTGAATTAGCTAATAATTTGTGCATTTGAACACAAGACCTTGTCAAGCATTTCCCATATTTTAATAGTTCAAGCAGTTTTCAAAGAATTTTCGTGAAGTCACGTAAGCTTGCAACATAAGTTAAAAGATCTAGAAAGACCAACTTACTGATACATTTCTTTTTGGATTTGTCAAGTTTGTATCCAAAGGAGCATAGGCATTCGTAGGAGCCTGGGATATTTATGCATGAGTGATCTTTGCCACAAGGAGAAGACTGACATTCGCCGATATCTAATGTTTCACAATAAAGTTGTTTTAAAATGTGTACCATAAATTAAGCAATTTTATTTTGTGTCTAATTTAAAGATGTGAAATAAATAAATATGAAATTTTTTGTTTAATTTATTACTTTTGAATATTTCTTAATTGATTTTACGAGAATGAAAAACATAATTGTCCTAAAATTTTCAAAGAATTTTCATGAAGTCACGTTAGCTTGCAACATAAGTTAAAAGATCTAGAATGACCAACTTACTGATATAAATCAAACCTAGTTCTTACATAGCTAATAGGACTATGAATTATGAAGTGTAACGTGTACCTACGATGGTTGCTATTTTGAATTATTTTCATCATTAATAAAAAACCCGAAAAACTACTTAGCCATTTAAAGCAATGAGTTTAGCTTTTGAAAAATTCACACAACAGGGGCATATTAATTATCTCATCCTGTCGTTGCAAGTTTCGGAAATTTTGAGTTTGTTAATTCAAGATGTTGGACTATCTTTGCAAAAGAAAATGCATCGACTAACAAAATTATATGAAATTAAAGCATATCATCTATACCAAAGAAGCTCGACGGTTTACCCGCAATAAATCCTTTGAAAAAAATTTTTACAAGAAATGGAAAAATCATATTTGATCCAAGCATGTCGTCATTGATATGCATATCTTGGTATGAAAAGCATAGGTATTTGGAGACGTTGCATCTTGCCGTAAAATTTTAAAAAAATATTATTCAATCAAGCCTTATTCATTGCTCCATCAAGCAGTGTTCATTTTCAAATTTATTGTTTTGTAAGTAAATCAACACAGAAAAACCAACAAAACAAGACTAAATACAAGCAGGTTGGCTACAACCAGATCCAAAACTAGAACGTTGATTGGAGGGGGAGGGGGGGTTGAATATTCATATATGTGCGAATATTCATGTTTTGTGACCTAATGTGCTCAGTAGTAGGGCGTAACGGACAAAGAAGTTATGAAAATAGGAATGGCTAAGAAGGTATGGCATTTTCATTTTTGCCTAAAAGCAGATCTTTTGAAT